GAACAATCTTTTTTTATATAGATTTAATACAATTGGAAAAAAATGTTGTTCCTAACTACTCACTACGTATTATCTAAATCGCATCAAATACAAAATATCATTCACATTGACACTCTACCGTGTTTTTTTCTTTATTTATTTATTGATGCACAACTGATACACATTGACACAAAATGAATTATTAAAACGTAGTTGGTATCGGTGTTAATATTTCTTGTTATGAATGACTCTTAGCAATCTCAAAATTTGCATCATTCCCAGCCATTCAAGCTGTGTGCCTTTCAAGTGCCGAAATGATTGTGGTTGCTTTTGCAATGGAATTACCAAAAAGAAATTAAATGCTGCAGCATATTTTATCGATGATGTTACGTTTCTTTTTCGTCCGATCGTATATCAATCTCAGTTTCCAAACGCAAATGTAACACTTCATTTAAATGCTACCAATTTAAAAAGATGTGACACTTTTGGTGTGTCACATTTGAAAGACAAAGCGAACAACTAAAAAAAGCAAACACTACTCTGTTTGGGTCGTGTGCAACTGCTCTATTTCTCTCGCTCTTTCACCCAACATGAATGATGGCAGCAACAATGTTATCAATGTCTGTGTATGATGGTGTTGGTTTTATTCGTTCGAATCGTGCTTGAAAAGTGGCACTTTGTTGATAATCAAAAGAGCTTGATTTGAAGCAAATTAATGCTATTTTTGTTCATTTTAGATATTTAATCACGAGACCATATCGCGCGCTCCTGTATGTACAAATACGAGCAACTGTCGTCATTGAGATTTGCGATTTTAAATAGGCTGTCAATGTTGATGTTTCTTTTTTCTCTCATTCTGTGCCGAATTTGTTATCGAAAGCGGTTTTTGTTGTTAATTTTTTTTATGTCTTCTCTGCTCTCTGTTGTACAATTCAATTGAATTATTGTTGTTTTACGGTCACACGCACATACATATGACATAAAAAAATTTGGCTGACATGTATGTGGCTTGCAAAATGATGCTATAACACAGTTTGCGAGAGAGAAAAAGAAAAAAATGAAGCATACAATTCTGGTTATTGTTATTGTTGAGAGTTTTGGCAACAAAAAAAAATTAGGCATATATATAAACGTTCACCAAAAAAAAAAATCACACGCGATGAGATCACATTATTTGCATCTTCTCTTTGCTTTTTTCATCTACGAAAAATCATTGGATGCGTGTGGTTTTTTCTCTCTCCTTCATTCCAATGTTTACATTTCGTTATCTGTCCTCATTTTACAGTTTTGACTAGCATTTATGATTCGATGTTTGATACAGCAGTGGACGAAACGATTTGTATTTTCAACAAGAGAACAACAACAAACCAGTGAGGAAGAAAAAAGCGCAACCGAAATTATTCATATAGTGTGTGTGTGATTAAATTTAACGGATTTCGAGGTTAGCTAAATGAATCACATTCGATGGAAACAGTGATATCGGTGGTAAGCAATTGAATTTTGTATGCCTTGTTCCGTTATATATATGTAGCCATCGTTATCTAAGCCAAACGGCATCCGCACATAAACACACATTTTCGGTTGGCTCATTTATTTCAACGACAAAAAAAGGTTATTTTGTTTCATCTTTTAAACAACCATGATGATTTAATTTACACGAACCGTAATCTGCGTCGCATTTTTTCCGTATCGTATGATATACTATAGTTTCATTAGTCCGTTATCTCAATCAAAACTATGTATACTTTTTGTTTTTTTTTTTTTAAGCGTTCAATGTCGAACGTTTTTTTCCCCTCTACATCGGACCTCTTATGGACCAATTATCGCAGTCCACTTTTGTATACTTGTGTTCAAATGAAACAATTTCTTCTTTCTCTCATTTTGTGTCATGATTTTCAAGCTGGTATTAAACGTGGATTTAAAAAAAACCAATGCATTTTCTCTTTATTCAGTGCTTTTAAAGCTAAATGATTGAAGAGATCGTTTTAGTCACAATTTCATCCGTTTCAATATTTTATCATCGATCGAATTTTGTAGGTTCGGAAGAGATAAAGCCATTCAATTTGGATGCTTTGTTTAATTTATTTATTTTTTTCATTCGTTTGGAACTATTTTTCTTTTATTCTATTTGTTAGCTTACATTTTGATAGCATCTAGAAATCACCACTTAATTTGGATTTGTTTTTTGATCTGCAAAAAAAAAATAACCGAGCCATTTTTGTTCCTCTCGCACTTTTACCTGAAAGAAGCGCACTAAGTTCGTGATTCATGAACTGAATGGTGTTTTAACATCGTTAAATGTAAATCCAGTGAAGTGAAGAGAGAAAGAAGAAGAAGAGGACAGTACTGACGCCATCCACGGTGAAAGAGTAATAGAGAGAATTAAAATGAAAAGAAAAATGTAAAAAAGACGGTATGAGTTCATTGCCATTGGCAAAGAGAGCAATGCGGCAGTTTGTCAATCTGTTCGGTGGTGCTGCTGTCTTTGGTGTTCACGGTTCCATCACACAGGAATCCGTTCAGGTGAACGATTTATACATGTCTGTGTATTTGACTTGTTCTTTGAATGTTGCTTTTTTTCTGCACTTAACTTTTGTAATATATTCTGCCAGTGCTAAGCCAGTTCTGTGTCTCTGCTCATTCATTTCAGAGACTTTCGAAAATTCTAGCATTCGTATAAAAGAGCTGAGAACGGAAAAGAGTATGCAAACAATGCAAATCACATTCGAATTCAAGCACGTTTCACATTTTGCGCCCAAAAAAATATATATATATATATGCAATCGAAGCCAGTTTATATTGTTTTTTCCTTTTTTGGTGCTTCTTCTATCGTTCTTTAATTTATACACTTCCTGATTCAGCAAAATCGATTCAAACACAAGCGAATGGTGTGATATTTAGAAATGGTTTGTGCAGCGAGAAAATGTAAGCGGAGCTCAAAGAGTTGCGATAAATCACGATTTCGTTGTTAGAATGCGACGAGAGTAATGATGGCAAACCATATCAAAATCAATCAATAAGTTTTGTTGTAAATCAGAGATACAAAAAAAGAGATTGCCAGTTTAGTTTAGTTTTTTTCTTTAATTTATTTCATCTTCATTTGTTTGTTGTTGTTGTTGTTTTTTTTTTTTTGGTAAATTTTTCATCATTTTGCTTCCATTATTTGCTCAATTCAATGTGTTGCTTCTTCATTTTCTTGTCTAATTATTGGTTCATTTGTCACATAAATTCTATGAGATTTTACATTTTGTATTGTTTCAAACATTTCGTATACTGTTCATGTCTACATTATATTTCATCATCATTTTTTGTTTGTTTGTTTGTTTGTTTACATGTGCAAAGTGTGGTTGTATTTTGCTAGAAATAAAACTTTATGTCATTTTATGGTCTATTACTTTTCAATGTCTCTGTTCTTCTTGTTTCTCTGTGTATGTGTGTTTTTTTAGAAATGCTAAATGGATTAATGTTTATCAACATTGAACATTTTACAAAATGGAATTGATGCCGCCAGTTGAGGCCAAACGGTAAAGAAAATAAAACATCATTGCCCATTGGTATCGAAACAAAAATTAGAGGGAAGCAAAGTGGCATGTGGCAGTCTGACCTGTTTTCTACTTATTTCATCTGCTGTCCACTATACCGCTATAGTATTTTCTGTGTTTTTTTACTTTGTTTTTATTTTATTTTATTATTTTTTTTGTATATTTTTCTTTGTCTTGAATCTAAAGGAAAACAACGAGGCAATCATTCATTCATTGAACGAAATAACGATGGAACAAAAATATCTAAATGTGTGACTATGACTTCAATGTTATATCTTCTATTTTTTTTTTCATACTATAATATATATTGACCGAATTGTTTTAGCCAATCTATTATCTAATTTTTTTTGTTTGTTTTTTTTAAATCATAATTTACATATCTTTTTTTCAAAAAATACACTCTTCATTCTGTGTGGGTGTGTGCTTTCCACCGCTAAATGGAACGCAAAAAGCATTTTAAGGAACAAAAGTTTTTTCTTCTTTTACTAAACAATTAAACAAGCAAAAAAAAATATTACTTTTAAAGAAAAGAAATGTGATTTTCTATTCTCTACACACAAAAAATAAATGTAATTATATTTTTTTTTTAATTAAAAAATATGCCTGTTTTATTTGTTGAGGATCGTTTTTTGTGGCGGATTCCATTGTCCAATCTGGAATGATCGGATGTCTTTCACTCTCCCGGCCGTGTTCTTGTTGAATCGATGTTCGACACTTATTCCAGGGTGTGTTGACTCATCGCTGCCAAAATTGTGTGATGTGTCTCTTTCTATCTCTCTCTCTTTTTCTCTCTTTCATTTACTTTTTTCTCAATGGTTCGAAATGTTTGTGTTTTATATGGCATAAATATGTAGCCATTTTGCATCGCTGATTAAAACAAAAAATACAATAAAAGTAGCTCACATCATCAATGGTTATGTGGTGGGGAAACACTTGTATATCATTTTAAAGTGTTTGGTTGTTGTTGATGATCGCCGTTTTTTTTTCGGCTGTGTCACTTTTTTGTTTCTTCCCTCAATTGCTGCATGATTTTCAAATGCAATTTGAAAGGTAAAGTCTTGTGTTTATATGGTGATGGTTGTTGTTGTTTTGTTTTGTTGGTGGAAAAAGCGCGCATAACAAACAATAAACAAAAATAAATGCGGATCAATTCATCATCATCTGCGGTATAGCGAAAGAAACGATGCAAACTAAATGATATTCAAGATAGTAGCGTTTTGTCTATATATTCAAGTGTTCGGATGCGTCATCATCCGAGATGGATGCTCATTGTAGTTTTTGGTTTTCATTTTGTGCTTGTATTGTTTTGAGTGCACAAAAACAATCGTTCAACTTTAGCGCAGTAATGGTTTTGTAATATATGCTGGTGTTGTTGATGTAATGTCATTCATTTTGTTTGCATTGAGAGACAACGAAAAAAAAATGGATTTTTGTTTGTTTTTTTTTTTCCTCTTTATTCACTACACAATTTCAACCATTTTACAATTCCAGTTGACACATTCGAATCATCGGCGATCGACTTTCTTCATCACTTTCATAGAAATATCGTTGTTTCGGCGATATATTGTTGAGCTGCAGCCGTCGTACAGCCTCTTTAACTAGATTATTACTTTTTAGAAGGGCTTGCAATAATTCATACGGATCGTCTATTGAATCATCTTGTTGTTTTTTACTATTGTGTACGTTGCTATTTGTTTTGCCGGTTTTTGTTTGCGTATGATCGCAGGTGGTGGCCGATGGTTCGCCGCTCCATGAACGACATGGTATGTGATATGGCGATGGTCGTGAACTTCGATTCGTTCTCGATGGATTTGCTTTTAAACGTAAATTTTCTTTGATTTCATGTACTAATTCTTCCATGGCTAAAACGTCGTTTGCCTGTTTACTGGGCATTTTTACTTGCTTGCACACCTCACGCTCAATGCTGACTCTCAGTATTTCGGTTTCTTTGTGGTTGTTGTTATACTTTGTTGAATGTGCGACAGCAACGATGACGATGTGATTTTATTTGCCGTCCGAAACAGAAATTTATTATAATAATAATCAAATATGGTCGAACCCGTTTAGTGATTTTGATGTTTCGTCTGCTAAACAATTGAGAGATTTGCTGCTGTGCGACTGACGATGTTGCTATTACTGCTACTGCTGAACTGTTGTTGTGTTTATGGGTTTATGCGTGATGCTTGATAATCACGATGGTGTGACGTTCCCAATGAAGTGTGTTCAAACCGGAAACGTAACTTGTTTCTTTATTTCGTTATGCTGGCTGTTTTTCTCTGTCTCTCTCTTTGCTTGTTCTGCTGATTCGTTTAAATATATCACTCACTTTATATACTTTTTGCTCAATATGACCAGTTTAAGAATGTTCTGTTTGTTTCTTCTTACTATAATTTGATAAGCACTATTTCCGTTAACTTATTTATTCTTCTTTTTATTCTTTTTTTTAAATTCAATCAATATTTTAACTCAAATTTGTTTTTTTTTCTGTATTATATAGTTGAATAGCTTAACTTTTCGTTTAAACTCTTGATGTTGGCTCTAAACTAAAATTATATTAATTATTGGATTGAGAAATCTCGACGTTTTTCTTGATTCTCCTTTGTTTTGTTACTTTTATTTATATGTTTTTCTTTTCACGGAAAAAAAAATTAAATTCAATTAAATAATAATAAATCTAACAGAACTAAATTCACAGTAGAAATATCACGTTTTTGGTACGGGTGTTATTTGTTAATTTGTTTGTTATATTCGACGAATTAAGTAGAGTGTGTTTTATGAATTTTGTTATTTATTTGCTGTTGTTTTTTTTTTATTCCGTTGCTCTGGTGCGGTGTCTCCCTGTCTTATTGTGTCTCTGTTTGCAGGCGGCAATACGTATTTATCAGAAAGAATTGCTGTTGTTGCCGTTGTCGTTTATGTATTGAATGGTATGAATATGTGTATGTATTGGTGTTTGCGTTTTGCTTTCGTCTTAAAAAACCTTCTCTCGCTCACTCAATCAACGGACTGTTGTTGTTGTTAGTTTTCTCGATTTTATTTGTTTGGTGTCGGTTCTTTGTTGTTGTCTGCAAATGCTACACACATATATATATATATAAAACTCGTCGTTCGGCTGGATCCACAAATACAAAACAATACTATTAATTTGGTCAACGCTTTCTGCTATCGCCTAGATTTGTTATTGTTGTTTTCTCTCTTTCTCAAATGAAAAAAAAAAAACGTTTTGTGTATGTCTCGAACTTTCGATTGAACTTTGCGCACTGGCGTCAATTCAAAATATTACTTCGGCTCACGATACCAAACCGGCAACTCTAATATTGATTTTCGATTTGGAACACGGAACTGTTTTTATGTGCAGAGAATGATTTTGTAACCAACACGGCTGGCGGCAACGTAACGTATTTTACGAGAGATATTAATTGTTTTGTTTTTTATTTTTGTTTAACAAACTTTTTTTATCTCTGTAGTTGTTGACTTGAACAGCAACAAGACTCGGCGGATGTAGAATTTTGCGTCACAATTTACTTTCAGGTAATGTTTACGCTTCTATTTCTTGTCAGCGTTTGGCGTCTCTTTCTCTCTTGCTCACTTTTAAATGCATAAAACACAGAAAGATGTAATTCGCCTCAGAGCTGAATCGATAAGTCGGTCGGTTGGTAAACTTTCGCAGTATGTTTGCTGGTATTTCTATGTATGTGTAATATTATGTGAAGAGAGCGCGCGCACGTTTATATGCGTTCGGTGTTTTTTTTTGTGTCTATTTCACAACTTTACTACTTTTTTTCTCAACTTCGAATTGTTATTGTTGTAACTATGTTTTTATTATGATTTGTAAATTTTCTTGGTTGGTCACTTGATTTCAGTTCGGTTCAAGCAAAACAACAGCTTCCAGCTTTAAGTTTTTCAACACAAACTGCAAACACGATTCACATAAAATCTTGTATCTTGTTTTCTTTCGTTTTTTTCGTATAATGTTCAACGAACCTGCTTAAAATCCAATATATAACAAAAAATTTGTTTCATATGTATTGGATGTGTGTGATGACGGCGATTAATGGCCGTTTGTATGTTATTATGTATTGGGTTAAATGTGTTCTTTTTGCTTCTTCTTCTTTTCTGCTGTATATTCAGTCACTTTACACACACACTGCGCGCAACTTATGTATCTCTTGTACGGCAACGGTTCAGTTTCTCACGAAAAAAAAAACTTGGTCTTACGTACTCTGTACTCAGTGAGTATCTTTCAGCAGCGTGTATGTGATAGTGTGTACTCTATTTATGTCGTTCGATATACGAGAAACGAAGTATTTTTTGTGTTTTTCTTCTTTTTTTGTTGTTGTTTCTCTCTCTGTTTTTGTAACGAAAAAATATCTCGTACACTTACACGCACACAAATTTCCGTCCGAATAATCAATTTGGTGTGTTTTTGTTGTTTCGATTTTATTCTTTGCTGCTGTTGCTGATGTTGTTGCTGTTGTTGCTTGTAAATGTTTCTCTTTTGGTATTGCCGGACAACTTTTTGTCCACACTTATTTCCTTGAATTTTTTATTTTAAATTGTCTCGTCTAGTTTATTAATTCCGTTTCACAATGTTTTCAAATGCGATTCATTTATAATCGACGTATTTTGAATTTTTCTAGTCTTCTTTTTCTTGTTGTTGATTCAAAATATTATTATTGGTATGTCGTCGTCGATTCTTGTTGTTCGTGACACATATACACAATGAGGCGTTTTATTTGTATTTTATACTTGTGTGCATGTATATGTGTTGGGATGTGTATTTTTTTTATGTATGTGTTTGTGTCTTGTAAGCAGAACAGCAAAATACACGACCTTCTGCTTCAACGGTTACTAGTCGACTGGGTGGAAATGCTCGAGCCAGTTGTGCTTTTTGTGTCGTTTCATTGAGCGATGATCCGAACGTACGCGCGCACAAACACATGCAACGCACACACAAACACAGCATACAATGTTTTCTTGCTCTTCTTATCTCGCTCGGTCCTTTGTACAATTGCCTGATCTATGGGCGCGCGTAAAACAAGTCAATAGCGCCACATCGCACAAAACCTATAACTATATATACACACATTCCATTTCATTCATTTATGTATTAACCGAATAGTAACGTACGCAGGGATTCTTTAGAAACCATCATTCAATTCCGTTGATTTTTCTCAGTTCACTTCGATTTCTCTTTTGCGTTTCTTTAATATAAAAAAAAGAAAATGCAACAAAAATCGTTCTGGTTTCAAATAGTCGACACTAGTTTTAAGTCAATTTTCAAATGGATTCTGTGATTCGCTTTGATTTAAAAATGGGCAAAAATGAACGGATATTTAGGGAAATATATATTATAAATTGAGCCCTGTATAGCCTGTATATTGACTTCCTATATGTGGATTGCGCGCATTTGGAAAACACAAGCACACAAGTGTATGTCTATGTGTATGGGTGTGTTTGTGTTTTTTGAGCGCGCATTGCAAACGCTTGGTACTCTTTCATGAACATGCATGTACATGCAAGCGATGTGTGCGCGTGCTGTAAGTATGAGTGGGTTTATAGTAAAAATTGAACGCGAAAAAAAGGAGGAAGATGATGATGAGATGTAGAGCACAATGACTAACGATGTTTTTCTTGTTTTGATTTTGTGTGTTTTGTTATTGTCGCTGGCAGCGCTAGTCGCCGCTATTGCTGTTGCGTCAAATGGCGCAGTGCGCATGTCTTAAGAGCGTTTGTGAAGAGAGCCAAGTTCTCAGTGTGTGAAAACACTTCTTTTTTTATTTCATCGTTTTTTCGGCGTGGTGTGGGCTATATGAGCCAAATACATTGTGTATATTTTTGAATACATATCGAATTAGATTCGGTGCGTTATTGTTGTTGTTTTGCGCAGCGACACGATATTACGATGTATTTGATAATAATTTCTTTCCTCGAAATTCTATACATTTCGATTTGTTGCTACGAATTTTATTTTAAGCATTTGAAATTAACTTTAGCAGCTTGTGTAACAAGATTTTCTTTCTTTCTTTCGCTCGCTCGCTCGATTGCTGGCAAATGCATGCCTTTTTCTCCATTTACTTGAATGTTCGCTCGTGTGCTTAGTGCTAACATCGATTTCGGCACATTGGATTGAGTGTGAATGTTTTACTGGTTTGGTCCTGGGTCGATTATATATCTATGTTTATTTACTAAAAAAAAAGCTCTAGCTCTCTCGTTCCCTCTCTATGTATTTCCACAGTTTGAATACCAAATGTTTTGCGCTCCGGTTTTTTCCGAATTCTTATTTCGTCTTCCTCATCTGTCTTATAAAAACATACAATATTCACCATTTGAACATGAATTTACTGTTTTCAAAATATCTATATATACAGACAAGTATATTTCTTATCTCTATCTCATGTGTACGGCTACTACGCAAATACATTTTCTCCCTGAGAAAATTTACTTTGGCGTGCATTCGATTTTCGTTCGTTTTCTTAATGGTATGTTGTTGTTTGCTTCTTCTATTCTGGTCTTTTGCCTCGTCTCTCTCTCTCTCTCATTCTCTTTATCGTCAATGTATTTACATTCAACGATGTTTTGCTTCGTTTCATCTGAATTTGAGCGTGTTTAAGCGTGTTTGTGAGTGAATGTGCGTGCTCTAGCGCGCCATTAATGTTGTTGAGGTACGCGTTCTTCTTCTTTTTTTTCTATTTGGATTTTGTTCGACTTTTTGTCTGTGTACATTACGATTCTCACTTGATCTCTCTCTGTGTGTCTGTCTCTGTATCTCTTTCGTTCGTTGATTCGTTGTAGTGTTAACCAAGCCGGACCATTTCGACTTCGTTGTGTGTATGGTACACATTCAGTCGGTTTCGTTGTTTTTGTTTTAATTCCTCTTTGGGCCGCTTTTT